GTCAGATGTTCCGTCGTATAGCCCGATCAGTGGGACTTTGACTTTTTCAGGTACTGGTTCCGAAGTGAGCTCCGGAGTAAGGGGAGAATCGGCTTCCAAATACACTTGCGCTGAGGTGGAGGCCCGTCGAGGTGGATCTTCAGGTGCCCGTTGCCGACTTTCCAATTCGGCTATTCTTCGTCGCAATGTTTCGAGTTCGGACGACTCTTGTCGAGCCCGATTTCGTTCAATATGCTGTCGAAGGTCGGTCTGCGCTGGGTTGGAGGGATTTCGGCGCTGTGCATGAGGCGGTGATCGTCATGAATGACCCGATTGGCTTTCGGCAGTTTCTTCTTGAGGAAGTATAGGAGGATTGCGTCCGGCGTCGGTGCGACGCGTAGTTTGTTCCGGAGGCGGTTGCGACATTCGATCACGAGGTTGAGATGTAGCATGAGATGTTGTCCTTCCGCCGTCTTGTCGCGCCGATGGATTCTGCCAGTTTGCGGGAGTCGTGGGAATGATAGAGTGTCCCGGAGCAGTCGTTGATGTTCCCGGAATTGTTTGGGCCATTAGAGCAGCAAAACCACGAGCAAACTCCAGATTTTGAAACAGAACATCATAATCCGGTACAGGCGGGGCCACGGCTTGTCGTCTGGCAGATTGCGCGACGCTGCGACTGTGGCCGTCTCGTGAGGTATGACCACGATGATCTGAGTGAGACATGGTGGATATGGCTGGTGTGAATCGTCACTTGGAAAAGCGGAGATTGACCTCAAATCACTTATGAGGCCCTCCTTCTAGCGCCAAACTGTTGTTATGTGATTTCTAACAGCGATGTAACAAGTGATTATAATTATAAACGGTTTGGACGTAAAGCATGTAGAAATAACTCAACAATGGCCCCGGTCCGAGGTGAACCGAGGTGAAAAGCCGTGATAGGCTTTTTCGTGTTGCATAATAATGAGTTCGGAGAGAGATCTCCGTACAAATGTCATGGGCTCACTATTTATAGTAGCTTTTTCAATATAAATCTTGGGATTCGGGTACTACTTTTCGCATAAAGTAACTTTTGGTGGGCGGTTTGGAGCAGTGGTCCCCACATGAATGATGACGATCCTCGTAGAGTGTGATAGGAGTGTAGGCGCCTTGTCACCTGCTTAAGGAGGTGACGACCTCGGTTTAAGTAGACCTCGGTAGGTATTGAGCACTTCGGTCTTCGGTAGTTCGGACCGGTTCATTGCCTGGACCGGTGTGGTTGTAAAATCACGTCGGTTCAATGGTCATTTTCTCTTAACATGATGTTTGGAACCTCTTAATGGTGTTTTGCCGAGTCGGATGATAACAGTTACAACTTTGAAATAATATATCTCAATATATGAATATTATTTTAAAGTGGTATTTTTATGGTAACTTTATATATATGTTGAGAGTACATATGTTAAAGTTAAGCTTAAAATAAGGTGAATTGAGTAATTACTAAAATTATAGATAAAGCCTGTTAGTATGACTTTAGTTTTGAGTTTTTCTCATTATATTAATTAATGTGAAAATTTGAAGAGCATGTATTAAAAGATATGTGATTATGAATGATTAAGTTTCATTTTAATATATATTAATTTTATATTTTTATTATTTTCAGAGATGAGTTAGCCAGTATTGAGCATAGTACTTAGTATATTTGTTATATTTGTTATATTATAGCGTGAGAAGACGGCTACCAAAGAACAACACTTACGTTTTCAAACATTTTCAAAGAAGAAAGGTGGGGACCCAGTCTGGGTATTACATTGAGTATAATAGCTATTATCATGTCCGAGGTATGTATATAATTTATAAAGTATTGGTGGAGGCCCCAAGTTGCCTTAGTAAATATTTATCAGAATTAAGCTCGCCCAGTCAAGACTGGGTTCTGTGGAAGGCGACCCCCAAAATGTGATCACTAGAGAACTGGCCAGTTACCGGTAGTTGCACAGTTCAGTTACTAATACCGATCAGATACCAGGAGATTAAGTACAGATATATATATATACCAACGATCATGATACTAATATTTGGGTAAATAATTTTATGCAACCTGTACTAATCGCGAATTTGGGATTTGCAACCTAAAGAATATTTTGTATTAAAATGCAACCTTTAATACACGGATTTGCCTGTATCGTAACCTATGGCCATCGGCGGCTCGTTGTCCACTGGAAAAGCGAGCGTGTGAGTCGCACGCTCCATTTTTTAGGGTAAATTCGCCATTTTGCCTTACATTTGAAGGACAATTTTGTCATTTCATCGTCTCACCAGATTTATTAAAAAAAAGGCGCGTACGTCACCTGTTCTTCATTCTTCTTCTTCGCATGCGAAAATTGGCTTGGAGACAGACGGGGCAATGGCTCAACTATGCAATTGCGGGATGAATGTTGTTACGAAAACATCGTGGAGTGTTCAAAATCCAGGAAGGAGATACATTACTTGCACAAAAAATTGGGTAAGTGATGAATTCGGGAAACCCTATTTTATGAATTTAGGCAAATTCAGTGAACCCTAATTCAAAAAATTGGGCGAATTCAATAAAATCGAATTTTCTTCTTAAATTAATTTGTTTCTGTAACTGAACATTATATGATGATAGTGGTTGTATATATTTTTCGTGGATTGAACCACCTTTGTGCCCTAGAGCTCGTGAAATCATTCCCGGCCTTTTGAAACGTGCCAACAGATTTGAAAGTGAAGCTCAAATTCTTGAAGTAGATGTGATGAGATTGGAAGCTGATGTGAAGAAACTTCAATCTGATGTGAAGAAACTTCAATCAGATTTGAAAGAGTCAGGAGCTTGTATTGAAGATGTCATGGAAGAAAATGTCAATCTTAAATTGTGTTTGAAGAGAAAAAGTGCTCGTGAGCGTTGGCTGTGGATTGTAATTCTTATCTC